CGATTGCAGCCAGTTAACTCCCTTGCATCGGGAAGATGGATTTCGCCCCACATTAAGCCATCTTCCTTTAAAAGTCCAGTTTCCACCCTTGCCGAACTAGGCAGGAATTCCTTGGCTCTATCGTAGCGCCGGTGAGATTCCACCTCTCGTCTCACTTGCATTTGCTTGAAGCAAAACAGTGGCGCCCAGTCAAGACGATCTGATCGATAATCAAGGTCTGTATTGTGATAAAACGGGTCTTACATCGCGAAATGCGTGAGCACCTTGATTAAAAACATGAAAAGATTTGGAAATTATATGTTGACAACGAGTTAGCGGTGCACATGCTTTGCAAATCCTGCAATCGACCGAAATCTGCACGACAGTTTACGAACCGGATTTCGATTGCGATGCACGATTTTGATTGGACTATGCATAGACTCGTTAGTCCAGCCAAAATGTAACTCCATAATACCAGCCTAGATCGGCTAGGGTGGAAACTGGACTTTTATAGTCAGTTAACTCCCTTGCCTTGGGAAGATGACATTAAGCTGACACGCCGTGATATATATTAAATGTTGTTCAAGCAGCTCATCACTCTTTCGGGGGGCACGGGTAGCCCAGTCGTCTAAGGCGCCGCGATTGGCTGTGCAGAGTTGCGTCCCTTGGGCACGCCAGAAACCTATGATTATGGGTTCGAATCCCGGTTCGCCCCGATTATGTTTCTAGGTTTGTCAGCACCATATACCCGTGCTCGTGGGTTTCACCGAAGTGGTAAACGTCCGAGACCTGCATCACTTCGAGCTTTCCTCCCACATTAAGCTGACACGCCGTGATATAACTGGAATACTGTTAAAAGCGGCGTTAAACCCAACTCACTCACTAACACAACACAGCCAGTTGTAACCTACGATACCTCCCGGTCCAGGCCTATCCTCATACAATGGTACCTTTCGTTTTGAAACCAGCTTCAGCTGGACGTTCGTGTACACACATGAACCGCAGACTGACACATCCCTGATTTAATCGCGACATTATCAAACACTGAACCGATCGTCATAATATAAATGAATAGTGAAAGACGCGGGGATAAAATCACCCACTGCTCCCACTGTGCATATTCTCTGTCACTGAACTTGTGACAATGACTTACCTTTCATGACACTCTTTGTTCCCCACACTTCAACTTCACAAACAGTCAAAAGATCATTTGCACTTGTTTTTCTCGTCGCTCGCAAGACGACATAGCGCCCCACGGTGTCCCTGCGACATTGGATGAATTCACTGGTGGAAAAGCGGATATAACCATTGTAAAACTGACACAGCCTCGCTTTTGCATCTGGATCCGACGACGGATTGGTCATATACAGGTCCAGGGCGAAGTCGTGCAGTCCGGAGTCTGCAAGGAATTGAATCCACAGTTACAAGGAATGGAGTTACAACAGGCTTATCAGAAACGTGAGGGGAAACAGAATGGTTTGGGTGTTAGTTGATAGCATGTTTCTGTATGGAGAGTAACATCTAGTTGGTATTATCAGAGAGTCTATATACAAGGAGGGGGGGGGGGGGGGGGGGGGGGGGGGCACTCATTTCTGTGGGCCTCATGCACAATTTCTGGGCACGCCCGTTAGCATCAGATGGCTTCCACCTGTTATGACGAATATAGACTTTAAACAGATTATGAATGCTAACTCGGGTTCGTTGGTTGGTTTGTTGTTTAACGCCGCACTCAGCAACATTCCAGCTATATTACAGCAGTCTGTAAAATAATCGAGTCTGGACTAGACAATCCAGTGATTGATATCATGAGCATCGATCCACGCAGTTGGGATCGATGACATGCATCAACCAAGTCAGTGAGCCTGACCACCCGATCCCGTTAGTCGCCTCTTACGACAAGCACAGTCGCCTTTAACGGCAAGCATGGGTTGCTGAAGACCTGTTCTACCCCGGATCTTCACTGGTCTGCTAACTCAGGACAAAAAATACAAGGAGTATGTTTTGTGAAAAGGTGAGTTTAACTTTCTGTTGTTTTGGGACATGAAGTAGTTGTCATGAACTTGCTTTCGTTGTATTTGAAGTGACTTGTCCATCAACATCTGGCATCTGTTTGTATAAAACCTGAGGCAAAACTAGCTTGATCAAGTATTTGATAACTTATTTGATATTTAACTAAATTATGTTTTTTAAATATAAAACGTCAACGCGAGAGAACATGGATTGCTCAATAATATGTCAGTCCATATTGTTTTGACGTTTTGCATTGCTGCCAATTTCACTGTCATTATAGATGTGTTCATTCGTGTGTTAACTGGTACATATAAAACATCAACGCAAGAAAATAGCAAGTATTGATTATCCATTTGACGCCATAGGCAAATCAGATAAATGGATCCCTGAAAATCAGATCAAGTTCAAGTTGAGTTTATTTCGCAGAAAGACCAACCAACGGTGGTAAAAGAAAAAAAGAAGTATAATATAAGTTCATAATATGATAAGAATGTCAAGATGACGGGAGTATTGTGAAAATGCATATAGGGATGACACCAGGTGTTCGCGAAAAGGGTAAAGAATATCGAATTGTCGGCTCCAGCTTACCACAGTTCCCAGAGCACCCGTCCCGGCTCCTGGCGGATACCATCACACGTTTGATGTGGTAGTAGCCACCCGTATCCACCTGCCAGTAGGGAGCCTCATCCGCAGCAGCAGCTTGCCAGCAGGTCGACGACAGTGTTGTGTACGTCACGTTGCCATCGACCACGCCGTCACTAGCCAAGAGGTTGGATGTTGCAAATGTTGACTTGTTGAAGGAATAGTTTGCATAATTGTCTGAAGTCAAGAACGATATTTAATCAGGAATAGTCCAATATAACCGAGTGCTGATATAACTAACTGAGTGTTTGGCAACATGAGCAACGATTCACATCGCCATGTTACTTAGCACCATGTACCTGCTCGTTAGTTTCACCAAACCGGCACACGCCTTTAACATGTGAAGATCCGTGGTAGAATAGGTCTTCGGCAACCCATGATTGCCGCATAAGGCGATTATGCTTGTTGTAAGAGGCGACTAACGGGATCGGGTAGTCAGGCTCGCCGACTTGTTGATCCATATCATCGATCCCAATTGTGTGGATAGTCAGGCTCGCCGACTTGTTGATCCATATCATCGATCCCAATTGTGTGGATCGATGCCAATGATGTCAATCATTGGATTGTCTGGTCCAGTCTCGATTATTTACAGACCGCCGTCATAAAGCTGGAATATTGCTGAATGCGGCGTTAAAAAACCAACCAACCAACCAACCTTTAACATGTTCCAGATGATATATTACAGATTCAAATAATGTTCAGAACACAACTCACTCACTCACTCACTCTACTGCTGGAACAGATCTTGAAAGGGGGTGCAACTGACTTGGTTGTACAGTAGCTTTAGCGTTCGCAGCTAAATATAACGTGACGCTGTCCATACCTTTAACAACCCGCTGTCGCCAGTCCTGGTTCAACTTTACTTTCTTGATAAACATTCCCGTTCCGTCGATGAGGTCAATATTCGGCGATGACGTCATGTGGGGGACGGCGATGAGTGGGTGGTTATCTACCAGAAACTTCAATGAACATATAATTACCATAATTAGTCTTATACCGATTGTAGACCACAGCTTTAAGCTGCAAGGGTCAGGTGCCCCTTCACTGGCAGGACTCGTTGAAGAGTTTCCTCAATTTTTGCCAAGTCAGTTATTCAGCGTGTGTTAAATTGAAACAGTGCCAGTGTTCTTACATTTAGCTGAGTGTGTTTCCGTATTGTAGAAGTACCGTGAATATTCCGGTTAGAAGACTTCAGCAACACATGCTTGTCGTAAGAGGCGATTAACGGGATTGGGTGGTCAGGCTCGCTGTCTTGGTTGATGCATGTCATCGTATCCAATTGTATAGATCGATTCTTATGCTGACAATTACTGGATTGTCTGGTACAGACTCGATTATTTACAGACCGTCGTCATATAGCTGGAATATTTGTGAGTGAGGCGTTAAACAACAACGTCTCAGAACATATAAATCGTATTGTAAAAAACTATATCAGGAATAAAAATTGTATAATGCAAGCCTTTGGCACACATCATCCATGCCTGACCAGCCGTTCTCGTCAAAGACCTCAGAGGTTGCTGAAAACCAAAAACTGAATCCCGAGGGTGGGGTGTGTGGGTGTGTGGGTGTGTAGGTGTGTGGGTGTGTGGTTGTATAGGTGTGTGGGTATGTGGGTGTGTGGGTGTTGGTGTGTGTGTGGGGGGGATGTCACACGCACCTGGTAATGATCACTGAGGAACAGCACCACCACGTGGGCTAAGGTGCCATTCTTGAACAACTCAGGGGCGTCCGCCTCTATCGGTGCTATTCGCCCATCAATTCTGTTACGGAAGGTAACTTCAGCCCCTCCTTGGGCCCACTGTATATTGATCATCAACAATACGTCCGTTCCCGCCTGGAACAGTATATAAGACCTGCAACAAAAGTAAAATCAATTATTGCTTTGTAGCGAAACCGGGATAAGTCGAGGTTCCACGAATCAGTGAACAACCGTACTTCGAGACAAGAGGACTACGACCAAGTGCCGATGAGAATTCTTTCGCAATGATTTAGATATATCGTTTTTAACATTGTATCGAGTTAAAAGTGTTCGAGTTAGAAAGGTTTCCATTGTATACGTATTCGCACGACATATCCACAAAACTGTCAGCATTGATATTAGAATATTTTCTGCAAAATACTGACGACACACAACGGCCATATTGAAATTACATTCGAAGCGTTTGAATAAATTAGGGTTCATTTGACTTTCCGACAGGTGAACGAAAAATGCTATCGGAAACGTTTTCGTCGAAATCGACAGAAATATATCGTTTTGTGAATTGTGTCCACGTCAATATGACACGCCGTGATATTACATATCTACTATTCAAAGCGGCGTTAGTTACCCGCTTTCTCTCGATTCAAGCCACAGTTCATGTGCAAAACCAATCTGAAGTGGGCAAGGTATTTCAACTCGGCCAACCTAGGGAAAAAAGGACATACATGACGTAAAGAGATAACAGACGGAGGTATTAGAATGAACAGATCAACACGTTAAGAGACAACGGACAGGGCATTTACAATTGACAGATAATGACGTTAAGAAATAACACACAGAGTTATTTTAAGGAACAGATAAGGATGTTAAGAAATAACACAAGGAAGTATTTCAATGAACAGGTCATGAAGGTGAAATTGGCAGCAACACAAAAATGTCACCACAACATGGCTTGAAATGCCACGTGAAGTCCATTAACTTTGCAAGGTAAAAACATTTTGTTATGCGCCTTGTCGTGTCAGATCATTTCGGGGGGTACCCATTGCATGTTGTTTGGCAGACACATGATTCAGTTTGTTCTGTGCGTTGTGTAACGCTGCATACTATATGTCGGCGGCTTGAAGTTCATCGAGTCAAGGCAAACTAGTGGTTGATACGACAGTGCCATGTCCAAAACCGTCAGGTACGATGACATCCAATTTGCACCAGAGCCTGACCCATCCGATCCCCCCTTTACAACAGGGCCTGACCATCCGATCTTCATAAAACAACAGTCTGACCATCCGATACTCATTTTACAACAATCTGACCATCCGATACTCATTTTACAACAATCCGACCATCCGATACTCATTTTACAACAGTCTGACCATCCGATACTCATCTTACAACAGTTTGACCATCCGATACTCATTTTACAACAATCTGACCATCCGATACTCATTTAACAACAATCTGACCATACGATCTTTATTTTACAACAAACTGACCATACGATCTTTATTTTACAACAGTCTGACCATCAGATCCCTCCTTTACAACAGAGCCTGACCATCCGATCTTCATTTTACAACAATCTGACCATCTGATCCCCCCTTTACAACAGTCTTACCATCCGATCATTAACAACAATCTGACCATCTGACCCCCTTTTACAACAGAGCCTTACCATCCGATCTTCATTTTACAACAATCTGACCATCTGATCCCCCCTTTACAACAGTCTGACCATCCGATCATTTTACAACAATCTGACCATCTGATCCCCCTTTACAACAGTCTGACCATCCGATCATTTGACAACAATCTGACCATCTGACCCCCCCCCCCCCCCCCCCCTTTACAACAGAGCCTTACCATCCGATCTTCATTTTACAACAATCTGACCATCTGATCCCCCCTTTACAACAGTCTGACCATCCGATCTTCATTTTACAACAATCTGACCATCTGATCCCCCCTTTACAACAAACTGACCATACGATCTTTATTTTACAACAGTCTGACCATCTGATCCCTCCTTTACAACAGAGCCTGACCATCCGATCTTCATTTTACAACAATCTGACCATCTGATCCCCCTTTACAACAGAGCCTTACCATCCGATCTTCATTTTACAACAATCTGACCATCTGATCCCCCCTTTACAACAGTCTGACCATCCGATCTTCATTTTACAACAATCTGACCATCTGATCCCTCCTTTACAACAGTCTGACCATCCGATCATTTAACAACAATCTGACCATCTGATCCCTCCTTTACAACAGAGCCTTACCATCCGATCTTCATTTTACAACAATCTGACCATCTGATCCCCCCTTTACAACAGTCTGACCATCCGATCTTCATTTTACAACAATCTGACCATCTGATCCCTCCTTTACAACAGTCTGACCATCCGATCATTTAACAACAATCTGACCATCTGATCCCTCCTTTACAACAGAGCCTTCCCATCAGATCTTCATTTTACAACAATCTGACCATCTGATCCCCCTTTACAACAGAGCCTTACCATCCGATCTTCATTTTACAACAATCTGACCTTCTGATCCCCCCTTACAACAGAGCCTTACCATCCGATCTTCATTTTACAACAATCTGACCATCTGATCCCCCTTTACAACAGAGCCTTACCACCCGATCTTCATTTTACAACACTCTGACCATCTGATCCCTCCTTTACAACAGAGCCTGACCATTCGATCTTCATTTTACAACAATCTGACCATCTGGTCCCCCTTTACAACAGAGCCTGACCATCCGATCTTCATTTTACAACAATCTGACCTTCTGATCCCCCCTTTACAACAGAGCCTTACCATCCGATCTTCATTTTTCAACAATCTGACCATCTGATCCCCCCTTACAACAATCTGACCATCCGATCTTCATTTTACAACAATCTGTCCATCTGATCCCCCCTTACAACAATCTGACCATCTGATCCCTCCTTTACAACAGAGCCTGACCATCCGATCTTCATTTTACAACAATCTGACCATCTGATCCCCCCTTTACAACAGAGCCTTACCATCCAATACACCTTTTAAGAATCGAATAAGTAGGAGGGTGAGTCTTGTTTAACGCCACATTATGGCAGGATTTTGCTTATTGCGCACAAGTATTACAAAGAATGAATTGATTTATAAACATGCGCTAAATCCAATACTAGTGTAAGCTCAAAGCGTTGAATCATTATTACCACTGGCAGTGGATCAGTATGCTCTCAAAATATCATTCTCAGCTCCCTGGGTAGTATACAACCCAAATTGCCTATCATGCGCTAGAAGGTTAAGAGAACCCATGACCTCCGCGAACAAGTTCGGCTGGTGTGTTGCCTGTGTACGGTACACAAGACCACATGCAACCACTAGGGATCTGTTTTAACCCGGAATCCCCACACGCAGTTTCCGAAGGAATGATTTTCACAATTACGTTGAATATAATAACACAATAATAGTCGACTAAACCCTTTCCAAAAGGAAAAATCCATTTTACGAATCCGACTATATCATGAGCATGTACATGTAATTATGAATCGACCGCCTCCGTGGTCTAGTGGTAGAGCGTTCACCCGGAGAGCGGAAGGTCAGGGGTTCGATCCCCGACCGCGTCATACCAAAAGACGTTAAAAGATGGTACTTGTTGTAACCCTGTCAGGCGCTCGGCATTAAGGGGCTAAAACAAGGACTGGTCGGCTCGGATCCAGTATACTGTGTCTGAGTGGGGTATTCATGTTAAACTGCGGCATGGTATCTCAGTGAGCTAGCACTATAAATCGGCATCAGTCCGGACTAGTACAAGCAGCCACACAAACACACACACGTACATGCACGTCGCTATATAAGTGCAATAATCTTGGACGCGACGTCAAACCCCATTTCACCTCACCTCACCTAATTATGAATCACTGTCAAAGAGTGATGATACCACATGTTCGGGAATATTTTAGCATATCCTGCCCCGCCGGTGACACGCGTCACAAACACATACAAAGGTCAGTTGTTCAAAAGTCAAAAGAGATAATTCCATCGGACATCCATCATTTTTGTCACCGACGCGTCAAATTTGGAAATGTCCATCACATCCACCATAAAAACTACTGAAACCCTGACCAAACTACTTCACACTGAAAGAACACGCTCGATTGTACGCTATTTCATTATTTTTTATTTTCTCGAAATTTCGAGTTTTTCTCTCGTTTTCTTCGATCATATGTTCGTAATTTAAGCGATAAAATAACCGAAGCAACGAGAAAACATTTCGAAGTAGCGAGAAAGTACTCGAAATTTTGAAAAAAATATTTGAAATATTAAGAAATTTCGATTTTTATTAAGAATTGACTTTCACTTTGTGTGAGTTCATTGGAGTATGAACCTTCATAGAGTGAGGGCCAAACTGTATGAACGTTGGAGCTTGCGACTGGCCGATCATTGAAAGGTGAATAAAGATGCGTCAAACAGACACTAAGATAAATTCATAGATTGCTGGAGACGGTCAATGTCAGCCTAGGCACGGATCGAGTCGACACTACGATAGTTTAGATGTGCATTTCATCGTTTGTTCATTAGGATAGGCCGCAGCGAAGATATTCGTGAACAATCATGCAGTCTCTGACATTTCTTAATGTATACTGAAACGCTGAGACCAAGAATAAAGGTTCTAAATGATCAGAAAGAACGCTTATGTGTGTTTTCGTGCTAGGGAATTCCCAGGGGTTTCCCTGGGAATGTGGAAGTAGTCCGTCAGTGTTTACATCATTTCAAGAACGCGGTCTCGTGAAAAACGTAGGAACGTCAAATTGTGTCGTCATTATTATGAACGTCAATTTTGCGGTCATGTGACCGCTCTCTCGTCCAATGGAAAAGCCGTATATCGTGTAAACTTCAAATTAAAATTTTTTAAATAAATTAATGCTACTAAAGTGGCACCATTAGGCTTTCGTACGATTGTACCTCATAAGTGAGGGTTTTTTACACAACACCAACATGTGCTCACTGTCTTCTCTGTTCCAGCGTCCACCTTGATGCAAGTCTGGGGCCGGCCCTCCCAGCCCGCGACACTGGTACAGTAGAGCAGGTTGTTGTCGTCACAACCGCCGGAGTAGCCGTCGTCGCAGGAGTACACCGCCACAGCCGCGGTCAGCGAGTAGTGGACATCCACCATCGATTTGTCCAGTAAAGGGGGATCAGGACACAGGAAGGGGTTCCAGCCAGTCACTGGAAGATATCACTGCAGAATATTCACAGACGAAAGCGCGGATACAATGTGTGTGCTTAATGAAGTGCAGATCTCAGGGTGGTGAGAATCCCACAAGTAGAGAGGTCCTGTTCTCATGAGGTCTCAAGTGTCATGAGGTTGAATCTTGGAGTCGAACTCGCTACCAACAGACGTGTTCTTTAGTGAGTGAATGAGTTGGGTTTAACGCCTAATGTGGGAGAAAAGCCCGTAGGGGTGCAGATCTCAGACGTTTACCACTTCGGTGAAACCCACGAGCACGGGAATGGTGCTAACAAACCTAGAAACATAATAGGGGCGAACCGGAATTCGAACCCACAATCATAGGTTTCTGGCGTGCCCAAGGGACGCAACTCTGCACAGCGAATCGCGGTGTCTTAGACGACTGGGCCACCCGTGCCTCCGTGTTATTTAGTGACTGAAATACAGCTTGATAGAATGAACACAAGACAGTCAATGTTCTTTAACGCCGCAGTCAGCAATATTTCAGCGAAATCAATGAGGCCTGTAAATTATCGATATTGGACCAGCCAAACCATGTAAGACTGAAAGCTTGAACAAGTCCCAAGTCAAAGGTCTTGACTAACATACCCACCTTTGGTCGGCTCTGGACACGCAGGTGTCACTAGGTTAGTAATTGGCTACTGAAATATAGCTTAAGAACAGACTGACCATCCAATCCTCCCTTTACAAGAGAGATATGCCTTCCAATTTCCGCTTTTTAACATTCTGACCATCTGATCCCACCTTTTCAACATTCTGACCATCCGATCCTCATTTTACAACAGTCTGACCATCCGATCCCACCTTTACAACAATCTGACCATCCGATCCTCATTTTACAACATTCTGACCATCCGATCCTCATTTTACAACAGTCTGACCATCCGATCCTCCCTTTACAAGAGAGCTATGCCTTCCAATCCCCGCTTTTCAACAATCTGACTATCCGATCCCACCTTTTCAACATTCTGACCATCCGATACTCATTTTTCAACAATCTGATCATCCGATACTCATTTTACAACAGTCTGACCATCCGATCCTCGTTTTACAACAATCTGACCATCCGATACTCATTTTACAACAGTCTGACTATCCGATACTCATTTTACAAAGGTTTGACCATCCGATCCTCACTTTACAACAGTTTGACCATCCGATACTCATTTTACAACAGTTTGACCATCCGATCCTCATTTTACAACAGTCTGACCATCCGATCCTCGTTTTACAACAATCTGACCATCCGATACTCATTTTACAACATTCTGACCATCCGATACTCATTTTACAAAGGTTTGACCATCCGATCCTCATTTTACAACAGTCTGACCATCCGATAATCATTTTACAACAGTCTGACCATTCGATCCTCATTTTACAACAGTCTGACCATCCGATGCTCGTTTTACAACAATCTGACCATCCGATCCTCGTTTTACAACAGTCCGACCATCCGATCCGACCTCTACAACAGTCTGACAATCCGATCCGACCTTTACAACAGTCTGATCATCCGATTCTCATTTAACAACATTCTGACCATCCGATCCGACCTCTACAACAGTCTGACCATCCGATCCTCGTTTTACAACAATCTGACCATCCGATCCTCGTTTTACAACAGTCTGACCATCCGATCCTCGTTTTACAACAATCTGACCATCCGATCCGACCTTTACAACAGTCTGACAATCCGATCCTCGTTTTACAAGTCTGACAATCCTATCCGACCTTTACAACAGTCTGACCATCCGATCCGACCTTTACAACAGTCTGACCATCCCATCCGACCTTTAAAACAGTCTGACCATCCGATCCCACCTTTCCAACAGTCTGACCATCCGATCCCACCTTTCCAACAGTCTGACCATCCGATCCCACCTTTACAACAGTCTGACCATCCGATCCTCATTTTACAACAGTCTGACCACCCGATCTTCATTTTACAACAGTCTGACCACCCGATCCTCATTTTACAACAGTCTGACCACCCGATCTTCATTTTACAACAGTCTGACCACCCGATCCTCATTTTACAACATTCTGACCATCCGATCCTCCCTTTACAACAGTCTGACCATCCGACCCCCTGTATCCCCAGGGGGCGCGATTATCTCATGTTTATCTCACCGTCGGCTCCATACACCTCAATTTCGCAGACAGTGAGTATATCTCGGACACCAGCCATGTACTGCACTCTGACGAACCTCCCGATGACAGGCGCTGTGCACTGAATCCTCTCCTGATACGATAACTGGCCTGGTTTGGATGCACACGACTTGACAACAGCTGTGGGGATCACTTCCGGGTTCTGGGTACACACCACAATCTCGATATTTCGGAGTCGACTTTCTGAAATTGATGATGGAGAGACGTCACAGTTGGCTACAAGAACATATGTTTGTTTGTTTGTTGTTTAACGCCGCACTAAGCAATATTCCAGCTATATGACGGCGGTCTGTAAATAACCGAGTCTAGACAATCCAGTGATTAATAGCATGAGCATCGATCCACGCAATTAGGATCGATGACATGCATCAACCAAGTCAGCGAGCCTGACCACCCGATCCCGTTAGTCGCCTCTTACGACAAGCAGTCACCTTTTACGGCAAGCAAGTCCTATTGTGTTTGGCACAAGCGGGCATTGTAATTATCAAAATCTGCTGTTTTGTTTTGTTTTAATAAATGCCCGGAGTGTAAGCTGTTCAAGTTAATTTTTCCAGTATTTTCTTACATGATACAAATGAAACTGTTGGAGATATTGTACAGTTGTGACCATGTGAGTGAGTGAGTGAGGTGGGTTTAAAGCCGCTTTTAACAGTATTCAAGTTTTACCGCGGAGTGTCAGCTTAATGTGGGAGGAAAGCCCGAAGCGATGCAGGTCTCAGACGTTTACCACTTTGGTGAAACCCACGACCACGGATATGGTGCTAACAAACCTAGAAACATAACCGGGGCGAACCGGGATTCGAACCCACAATCATAGGTTTCTGGCGTGCCCCAGGGACGCAACTCTGCACAGCGAATCGCGGCGTCTTAGACGACTGGGCCATCCGTGCCCCCTGCGATCATGTGAATGACACTATTGACACCTTAAACCTTGACATCCTTAAATAAGATTAACAGCGTTGTCCACATGGATGAATACACGGAGTGACACTGTCGACAACGTCTATACATTAAAATACAGGTGACTGGCAACAATGCTGTTCCTTTGAGTAGAGGTAAATAACACTGTCGACAACGTCTAAACATTTAAATACAGCTCACTGGCAATAATGCTGGGCCTTTAAGTACAGGTAAATGACACTGTCGACAACGTCTAAACATTTAAATACAGGTGACTGACAACAATGCTGGGCCTTTGAGTACAGGTAGATGACACTGTCGACAACGTCTATACGTTTAAATACAGGTGACTGACAACAATGCTGGGCCTTTGAGTACAGGTAAATGACACTGTCGACAACGTCTATACGTTTAATTACAGGTGACTGGCAACAATGCTGGGCCTTTGAGTACAGGTAAATGCCACTGTCGACAACGTCTATACGTTTAAATACAGGTGACTGGCAACAATGCTGGGCCTTTGAGTACAGGTAAATGCCACCATAGCATTGTTTATTTGAATACATATGACTGCTACTATCAATTCAATTAATTCAATTCAATACTCGAAAACACACCAACGATAGTACATGAACAGACATATATATATTCAATACATGCAAAATGACAGGAAACATGTTTAAACTGTACATGAAGAAATTTAGAAAGATTCCAGAGTTTTCGCTTTGGGGGATGAGATTCTAATTTGTCCATATGTGGACTTTTATTGATTGATTATATCTGCACAGAAAATAAAGTTCGTTCCCAACAGTTTGCACACTCTTTCCCTTCTCGGAACGGTATCAATAACCCTTTACATTATAAATCAAGGAGATTAAATACTCTAGCATTCAGCTGCGCGTTTGGAATGAAATGAGATTAAGTTAGAAATAATGTCATCACATGTTAGAATTAGGTGAAGTGAGGTGAAATGGGGTTTAACGTCGCGTCCAAGATTAGTGTGCACTTATATATAGCGACGTGCATGCACGTGTATGTGTGTGTGTGTGTGCTTGTACTAGTCCGGACTGATGCCGATTTATAGTGTTAGCCCACTGAGATACCTTGCCTCTGTTTAACATGAATACCTCACTCAGACACAGTATACTGACTCCGAGCCGACCAGTCCTTGTTTTAGCCCCTTAATGCCGAGCGCCAGACAGGATAACAACAAGTACCATCTTTTAAAGCTTTTTGTATGACGCAGCCGGGGATTGAACCTTGGACCTTCCACTCTCCGGACTGACGCTCTACCACAAGACCACGGAGGCGGTTTGTTAAGACTTAGGAAACTTCAAATATTTTTCGTTTATCTCAGAGCGGTTTGTACGGAACACACAGAACACTGTGACTCCAAGATGACTACAGGACCCACCGAATGAGTCGCTCCTGGTTAAAATGACGGCTGTCACGTGATACAGGGATCCCAGGTCCACCATCACCCACGGCTCCATCACCGCCGTCATGAAGCAGTGGTTGTCGCTCACGTTGTTGTCGTTGTTGCCGTCAACCACTGTTTCCAGTTTGTAGAGAGAGTTCATGTACGCACTGGCAAACACTTGTTGATTTAGAGCCCGATTGACTGTAAAATGTTATAGACGGTGCATGCATTAAAACATTCCTTCTTGATATTTCCAAATGAAGTTGAGCTTAGAGTTCTCAAAATGGACGTACAAAGACCATGTTACACATACCAATTCGTCGAAACTACGCTTCTCATAGATTCTCATAGCATAAACCATCTTCCTGAGGCAAGGGAGTTAACTGACTGTAAAAGTCCAGTTTCCACCCTTGCCGAACTAGGCTGGAATTCCGAAGTATAATCCAATCAAAGTCGCTCAACGATCTAGACATCCGGTTCGTAAACAATTTCAAATTGCAGATTTTCGTCGTCTGCAGGATTATCAAAGCATGTGTCAACTGGACGTCGACAGATATCGTCTAAAGCTTTTCATGTTTTCAATCAAGGTGCTCAAATGGATTGACTGACTTTGTGAGGGAAGCCGTTGTATATCAATATAAATATTGATTATCGATCAGATCGTCGTGACCGGGCGCCGCCATTTTGTTTGAAGCAAATGCAAGTGATATGAGAGGTGGAATCTGATTGGTCAATAGGAGAGACACAGAAGGGAAATTACTCTTAATAGCAACTGGTGGCGCTACGATCGAACCACGAAATTCCAGCGTAGTTCGGCAAGGGCGGAAACTGGACTTTTGTAGTTAGTTAACACCCTTGCCGGGAAGTTGAGAAAAAATAGGTCATGTAGATCTAAAAAATTGTTTACGCCAGAAGTGGGGTTAACAGTCACGCTACCATCTCTGCGAACCAAGTATCCATTCATTGATGGGTGAACAGTTTGTTTAAAAGGAATATCACTTGCCTAAGGTTGGTTGGTTGGTTTGTTGTTTAATGCCGCACTCAGTAATACTCCTGCTAAATGACGGCGGTCTGTAAATAATCGAGTCTGGACCAGACAATCCAGTGATTGATAACATGAGCATCGATCCACGCAATTGGTATACGATGATATGCATCAACCACGTCAGCGAGCCTGACCACCCGATCCCGTTAGTCGCCTCTTACGACAAGCATAGTCACCTTTTACGGCAAGCATGGGTTGCTGAAGACCTATTCTACCCCGGATCTTCACGGGTCTTAGGAGACCCATGTGTTACATATGCTTCAGTGTGGACAGGACCAAAACTGTCAAGCGATAGGCCGTCGAACAATGTCCCCAACGTCACCAACGATGCTGAACTTACACAGGATCATATGTCACAAAGAACCCCATCGCGTTACAGTTGTGGGACTGACTTGGGTTTAACGTTGCCTTGACATGATTTCAATGTAGGTCATGTAGTTCAATGTAGGTCATGTAGTTCAATGTAGGTCATGCAGTTCAATGTAGGTCATGTAGATCAATGTAGGTGATGTAGATCAATGTAGGTGATGTAGATCAATGTAGGTCATGTAGTTCAATGTAGGTCATGCAGTTCAATGTAGTTCATGTAGTTCAATGTAGGTCATGTAGTTCAATGTAGGTCATGTAGATCAATGTAGGTCATGTAGATCAATGTAGGTCATGTAGTTCAATGTAGGTCATGTAGATCAATGTAGGTCATGTAGATCAATGTAGGTCATGTAGTTCAATGTAGGTCATGTAGATCAATGTAGGTCATGCAGTTCAATGTAGGTCATGTAGTTCAATGTAGGTCATGTAGCTCAATGTAGGTCATGTAGATCAATGTAGGTCATGTAGTTCAATGTAGGTCATGTAGATCAATGTAGGTCATGTAGATCAATGTAGGTCATGCAGTTCAATGTAGGTCATGTAGTTCAATGTAGGTCATGTAGTTCAATGTGGGTCATGTAGTTCAATGTAGGTCATTTAGTTCAATGTAGGTCATGTAGTTCAATGTAGGTCATGTAGATCAATGTAGGTCATGTAGTTCAATGTAGGTCATGTAGATATAAAACATTCTAAATGTAGGATACTAGAAAGGGTGAGATGGTTTAAAAGGCGAACATTGATACATAAACCCATCAGGCAAATATTTCATCTGTATTCTATACTTTAGACTTAAGGCAAATGTACTACCAGTGTTCACTGAGTCGATGGCGCCGCGCGTTTCAACGCCCGATTTACCGCGGGGGACGGGTGCTGGGGTCCCAGACGTTGTGAGCCGAACCTCCTTGAGCTCCACATCACCAGTGACCGTCAGCATCCAGAAACCGGAGAAGTTGGTTGGCGGGAAGAAAACATCATCCTGCTTGAATCCACTCAGGGAGAGCTACAATATGACAGGGGAGGATCGCATGAGTGTGGGTTAAATTACATAATTATGCCACATTAATTTGTTTAAGCTTTTTTGAGTGAGTGAGTTGGGTTTAACGCCGCCTTTAACAATATTCCAGTTATATCACGGCGTGTCAGCTTAATGTGGGAGGAAAGCCCGAGGTGATGCAGGTCTCAGACGTTTACCACTTCGGTGAAACCCAGGAGCACGGGACAAACCTAGAAACATAATCGGGGCGAATCGGGATTCGAACCCACAATCATAGGTTTCTGGCGTGCCCAAGGGACGCAACTCTGCACAGCGAATCCCGGCGCCTTAGACGACTGGGCCACCCGTGTCCCCTTAAGCTTTTGTGATTTTGTTTAATTATTTATTGTCAACCCTTCAGTTGTTTTATACAAGTTTGTTGTTTACCTGCTTATGTCTTTATGTACTAACAAATCAGTTATGCATCATCGGAAATGTCTGGATGGGCCTAAGTATTGATCACCACACATTTTTAGAAATGTCAACAGTTTAGCTGTGACGAACTAATGACTGTGAACAAGGACAAGGTCCGTGAAAGAACTGGTGAAGTAATGCTATTCCTTCATAATGGCCAGTGGCTTAACAAGAATTCCTTCACAATGGCCCGTGAAGATTCCGGGGTAGAATAGGTCTTCAGCAACCCATGATTGCTGTAAAAGGCAACTATGCTTGTCGTAAGAGGCGATTAACGGGATCGAGTGGTCAGGCTCGCTGACTTGGTTGATGCATGTCATTGATCATAATTGCGTGGATCGATGCTCATGATGTCAATCACTGGATTGTCTCGTCCATACTCGATTATTTTACAGACCGCCGTCATAAAGCTGGAATTTGCTGAGTGCGGCGTTAAACAACAAACAAACACACATCGTAATAGCCAGTGACGTGATCACTAGTACTTCGTTAGAGTCAGTGACATCGTCAGTATTCCTGTTACATCAACCAATCACTGTTTATTCCATAACACCACTTTAAGTAGTACCGATGACAGTGGCAGAGGCAGCTCTAAAGTAACAAGGGGCACATGTGGCCCAGTCGTCTAAGACGCCGCGATTCGCTGTGGAGAGTTGCGTCCCTTGGGCACGCCAGAAACCTATGATTGTTGGTTCGAATGCCGGTTCGCCCCGATTATGTTTCTAGGTTTGTCAGCACCATACCCGTGCTCGTGGGTTTCACCGAAGTGGTAAACGTCTGAGACCTGCATCACTTCAGGCTTTCCTCCCACATTAAGCTGACACGCCGTGATATAACTGGAATACTGTTAAAAACGGCGTTAAACCGAACTCACTCACTCACTCTAAATAACATTATTTCAACTTTATATATTTACACTTTATATATTTACTAATTATTTTTATAACTGAAACATTTGTACACCAAAAAGTTGTAAGTTATATCAATATATTCAATACATATAACAAGGTCTCTTTAAATTTATATAGTTCACGTGCATTCACAAAAACAGTGCATTTAAACAAATGATGGAACAGTTAATATAACAAATGATTCCTGTTGTAGAAAAGGTGACAAAATCGGTATTCCTTCATGAGAACCGTAACGTCATCTGTATTCCTGTGACAAACCAAATCAGGTGATTGGTAGTCCTCTGATGTACCAGTGATGATGGTTGGTTGGTTTGTTGTGTAACGCCGCACTCAGCAATATTCCAGCTATATGACGGCGGTCTGTAAGTAATCGACTCTGGACCTGACAATCCAGTGATTGATAACATGAGCATCGATCCACGCAATTGGGATCGATGACATGCATCAACCAAGTCAGCGAGTCTGACCACCCGATCCCGTTAGTCGCCTCTTACGACCAGTGACGTAATTGCTGTCCCAATTGTATAGCAAGCGACATAATCAGTACCCTTGTGATACAGCCATGGACGTCATCAGTATTCTTGTGATGGTGCCATGGGCGTAATCAGTATGTCTGTAGCCTCCCTTCCAAAGTCAAACTTTTACAAAGTAATATTTTTTTTTTACCATATTCTGTAGATATAAAGCAGTTATTAGTGACATATTTTTAAATTTTCGGTCACAAAAATTGGTACAACACAAGTGTCAATGGAATCTCAGGTTGAAGTTTGAACTCACCCCAAGCGTGTCGTTGTTGAAGTTGATTCTCCAGTCGGTGTCTGACGACCTCTGGGACGCAGTTAACGTCGCGTTTCCTGTACCGTTGACGACGACAAGCACTCCTTCCGTCAAGTTTACCCGGAAGCTTAGGAGGATGGCCTCATCTTCTTTTAGTTCTACCCTGAAACTGAAATACATAACAAATAACGTTTAGTTTCTTTATCAGAGATTGAAGTGTCTTTGTCTTGATTTGTTAGTGGCAGGAAAGGATTGAAGCGCTGGTAAAAATCTTGTGCTGCAGCGGTCCGATTCAAAAGGAAGTTTGATTAGAGTTACCGCCCCTGGTGTAAATAAACATGTCAAAGATCGTTCTAGATGTTTCGTGATCTGGCAGTTTCTAGAAGGCTGGCTGTACTGTAGGTGAGGTGAGGTGAAATAGGGTTTAACGTCGCGTCCAAGATTATTGCACTTATATAGCGACGTGCATGTACGTGTGAGTGTGTGTGTGTGTGTGTGGCTGCTTGTACTAGTCCGGACTGATGCCGATTTATGGTGCTAGCCCACTGAGATACCATGCCGCAGTTTTACATGAATACCCCACTCAGACACAGTTTACTGACTCCGAGCCGACCAGTCCTTGCTTTAGCCCCTTAATGCCGAGCGCCAGACAGGGTAACAACAAGTACCATCTTTTAACGTCTTTTGGTATGACGCGGCCGGGGATTGAATTCGCACCCCGTACCTTCCGCTCTCCGGGCGGACGCTCTACCACAAGACCACGGAGGCGGTGGCTGTTCTGTACCTATACAAGAGCGATAAAAGGACGATTTGGGTGGTGAGTTTGTGATCTTTAGCGTCAGTGTCTCATATTTCAAAAGTAAACAATATTAAGACAACAGTCACAGCGCCACAATCCCTTAGACGTCATGTATAAACCTTGCAATATATCGGACAAGGGACGTTGCTCATTATTTCAACCCCTTGTTTGTGAGGTCGAGAATTGATTATCTTCACGCACTCACTCACTCATTCACTTTGTCAAACCAACAAGCAAAGCTGATTCATGTTCAAGAATTGAAATTCAACCTTACTCATTCAATCCCTCAACTGTGAAAGAGAGTGAGCCTTGATCCGAGGGAGGGCAGTCGAGAGTGATGGAGTTGTTCGTCACATTCTGAAACATAAATGGAGTTAACGGTTCCTGTTTCGCAAGACAAGAACCTCTTCATGTCATTTTTTGTGGACTGAGAACCACATGTTTTGTTTGTTTATAAGTCGATAACAGCGCAATAATATCCATCACTTCGTCCTATAACAATTTAGAGAAACCAGTGATTGATATTATGACCATCCAATATCTATACATAATTTGATGTCGCCGAATTTGGCTTCTAAAGATTTGCATTTTAATCATTTACTATTCGTTAGTTGCTTTGTTGTTTTACGCCGCATTCAGCAATATTCCAGCTGTATTACGGCGGTCTGTAAATAATCGAGTCTGGACCAGACAATCCAGTGATTGATATCATGAACATAGATCAACGCAATTCGTACTTATAAGATGTCACATGTATTTTATCCGTGTGCTATACATTTCTTAGACATTAGATGGTTGACCGCTAGCGCCACGCACCTGCCACATTGCGCGACCACACCTAGATACCGGGGACCAAGTGTCCCTCCCTGCGCACCTGCTGACGCCGGACCCGGCACAAAAGACCTCGTCTTTCACTGCACAAGTATATCGTGCCACGGCAAGGGGGCCTTCGTAGTAGATCTAAAAAGGTTAGAGAACTAGCGAGAATGAGTGAGTGAGTGAATTAATGAGTTGACGTGAATGTACAGAAACGCTTACTATAATTATAATCAAAAGAGATTTCGTAACCCCCAAAAATATTTGTTAAAATACAATCTGTCATGGCACACTATACATGGGAGGGACAGTATTTCACGAAAATAAATTCATTAACACACTATACTTGAGCTTCAGTATTTTCTATATATTTATAAACATACCTGAGCTACAGTACCCACGGGCATAGGTGGCGCTACGCAGTCAAATGGACTCCTCACTGAAAAAGTGACTCCTCACTATATTATGTGTTTATATAATACAGTTAGTTTTGCTCTAAAATGTGTTCGAAAACAAACGTCTTATTCCATATCACAGTTTGGGCTCCGTGGTTTCAGGCATTGTACCAAAGATTCGAACCCGGCGTAATGATTGAGCACGCTGCCTACCCGCCACAATAGTATATAGCATGTTACATTGTCGATGTGTGTGAGTTACAGTGTATAGTATGTAAATATTGTTGATGTGTGTGAGTTACAGTATATAGCATGTATATATTGTAGATGTATGTGGGTTACAGTGTTTAGAATGTAGAATTTGTCGATGTGAGTTACAGTATATAGCATGCAGATATTGTCGATGTATGTGGGTTGCCGTGTGTAGCATGTAGATATTGTAGATGTGTGTGTGTTTCAATATATAACATAATTATAGATATTGTCGATGTATGTGGGTTGCAGTGTTTAGCATAGTGTATCTTCATATACCCGAACGAATCCGTATTTGCTGTGATGTAATATTGTAAGAAATGATAAACCAGTGTATGTTAAATGGCCCTGGTGATTTAAGAAGATTTAGTCGTGTATACATCATCCAATATAGGCTTTCATAGACGATGAACATATTCAGATAGGGGGCACGGGTGGCCAAGGGGTCTAAGGCGCCGCGATTCGCTGTGCAGAGTTGCGTCCCTTTGGCACACCAGAAACCTATGATTGTGGTTTCGAATCCCGGTTCATCCCGACTATGTTTCAAGGTTTGTCAGCACCATACCCATGCTCGTGGGTTTCACCGAAGTGGTAAACGTCTGGGACCTGCATCACTTCGGGCTTTCCTTCCACATTAAGCTGACAGGCCGTGATATGACTGGAATACTGTTAAAAGCGGCGTTAAACCCAACTCACTCACTCATTCACTATTAAGATACATACACATCTACACATACGTACTTTGATTGGCTGCTTAATCACTTTCCTGCCCTCGAGAGTTAATTGTTTGATTAACTCTCGCGTCGATACGAGTCGGAACAGAGTTGTTGATCAGACAAATCTCAGTGAGATATGATTGTTTGTTTGTTTATTGTTTAACTCCGCACTCAGCAATATTCCAGCTATATGACGGCGGTCTCTAAATAATCTAGTCTAGACCAGACAATCCAGTAATTGATATCATGAGCATCGATCCACGCAATTGGGATCGATGACATGCATCAACCAAGTCAGAGAGCCTGTCCACCCGATCTCGTTAGTCGCCTTTTACGACAAGCATAGTCACCTTTTACAGCAAGCATGGGTTGCTGAAGACCTATTCTACCCCGGATCTTCACGAGTCCAGTGAGATATGAAACCCGCATCGTCTTACTGCATGGCGAAACCTTGTTCATTTAAAAAAGCATTTAAAAAAGCTATAACCAGGCTACCTGTCGCCTTAAGCTGCTCCGCCAGAGAGCTGGTGATGGATGTCAAGTTATCCAGTCTTTCTGATAACGAAGTAAAATTCTCACAGGGACAAATATCCTGGACTGGGGTCGCAGTTGTAGACGTTGATGCCACAGTTGATGTTATCCCAGCCGAAACCGTGGTAGTCGTTGATGCCACAGTAGATGTAACATCCGTTGATGCTGTGGTTGATGCTGTCCCAGCCGGAGCCGTGGTAGTCGTTAATGCCACAGTAGATGTAACATCCATTGATGCCGTGGTTGATGTTGTCCCAGCCGAAGCCGTGGTAGTCGTTGATACAGCAGTAGATGTAACATCCGTTGATGCTGTGGTTGATGCTGTCCCAGCCGAAGACGTGGTAGTCGTTGATACCACAGTAGATGTAACATCCGTTGATGCCCTGGTTGATGTTGTCCCAGCCGAAGCGGTGGTAGTCGTTGCTGCCACAGTAGTTGTAACATCTGTCGAGGTATTTGGGTCTGTTGTAGACGTAGTCACCGGGGTTGTTGTTGATGCTGTCGTGGTTACCCCTGCCGTCGTTAGTACTGATCCCCACAAAGAGACATCAAATCATAAATGAACATCCACCTCAGCTGAAAGATGCTCTTTGTCGAAAATTTGTCTCATGTTACAACTGCGGATTAGGTCAAATTGACGCATCTTGTCAAACGATCATTAATCTTAAGCGAAATATTAATAATAAGTTAACTCTCTATATTAATACAACCTTCGATCGTTTGGAATGCTTTGAATATCGCCATTATGTAATATCCAAATATCTAATAAGTGATGGACACTGTCCTTTGTCACTGATAATTAAAAAACAATGTATTTAATGATATACTTTCGTCAACATCTGGTAAGCATCCTCGGATTTTAGTATCGAAAATAAAGCCCTTTGCGCATTCTTGAATGTCCATCGTCCTCTCGTCTCTGCAAATGAGATGATAGCGCGTGCTTGGAATGCCGGGATACTGAACCTTCCCATCAGGCTGCCCAATACAGGAAGCGGAACACGCCATACAATACTGCCGCCCCAGACACTGTCCTATCCTGTAGTCACCTTAACAGAGGGGAAGTATGAAACATCAACGTGAGAGAATTATCAATCTTGAGCATCGCCCTAAACTATGGAATATTGTAAGGGACATTCTCGCGATCTCGCGCATTCTCGTGTGTTGGGCATATTTAGCTCGTTTCCAAAGGTCGAGATCGCGAGAATGCGAGATCGCGAGAATGTCCCTTACAGTATTCCATACTAAACAGATTCCATTGGGTGTAAACGGCAGAAGAGTGGTAACAATAATGAATGGATCACTGAAAATCAGTCATGACACCTGGTGTTCGCGAAAAGGGTGAACTACCGTTAGCACAAGCCACTCACGCAATTAGCCTGAACAAGTAAGTGTTTTTTTGTCTGATAAGGTGATACTATTAATATTTACTGCAGAAAAGAGTATTGCTGATATCCATACAAAATTAAATTTCTGTATGGATTGGGATTGATCTGTGTGGAAAGAATGAGGTACTTAAGAATTTTGGTGAAAAGTTACAAAAACAGCGCATTCGGTTCCAAATTCAATTTAGCGCGCTTAAATCTACAGGTAACCTAGCTCTAAACTGAAAACACAGTATGTTTATCTCCTAATTATCATTGTTTAGTAAACTATAAAGAAAGGATATGATAAAACAAGCCACATTATGGAATGCAAAATGAATGTATCATTTCGGACATGTGATTATTTGTACGGATTAAATCAGACTGTTGTTGCTGGAAATATATACTGACGCGCAAAAAACCCCAAAAAACTTCCCACTTTTAACAAATTAATTGGTTCGAATCCTTATCAGTTTTTTAAATGTTTCCTGTCTGACAACGTTCGCCCAAACACTACAACGCTCTCTAGGTGTGACATTACTGCGAAAGGTTTGTGCATTTCTCAGAACACCACAAAAATGGTAAAACATGTTTTTCGGACCCAACACAAAATCCATGTGCAAAATGTTGAAACAAATATGGCAAGACAACTGTTTGATATGCTGAATGCAAAATGCACACAAGAGAAATGCCACGTTTATCTTTGGAAGAGCGAGAGAGAGAGTCATTGGTTTGACCAGAATAGGAGCGTCACAGACCCGTATTGCAAGAACCTTCGGCTGTTCCAGACGCACGGTGTATGCCCACAGTATAATTATATTTTCAGGAGCGGTTGCAAATTTGTTTAACAGTTTATATTCTAATTAACATAGCACTGAACATAAACATTGATAGTTTTTGATAATAATCGATATAAATATGCGTTAAGGGGGATATATTTTTTGGTTGTTTAACGCCGTACTTAGCAATATTCTATCTTTGATAATGTCATTGAGTATTCTACTACCACTTTATTGTATACTATCATTGTTATTGATGTGCAGCAACTTGTAATGATTTGTAAACCTAGTTAATTGTGTGATACAAATGTTGATGTATACCATTTGTTATTTGTTTGTTGGTTTCACACTAAATTTTACGTACAGGTTGCGTGGTTAAGATATTGGGAGCCTGACCATCTGATCCTGTTAGTCGCCTCTTACGACAAACATCGTCCATTCTAAGGACAAGCATGGGGTGCTGAAGATCCATCCTAACCCGGATATGTATGGGTCCAAGTGGAATGTACATAAAAAGGTATTTCTGTATATTTACTTCTTAGATAGTCGTATTTTGAACATACTAAAATTAAACACATCTTCAATCAAATTAAAATCACAAATTCTCAAATCCCAAACTATGTTTCTATGTCTACCTACTTCAATCAGATCTGTGAGGGCTGCATCTACATTGCGCTAAAGTAATCTAACCCTTTCCAAATGGATATCAAACAATGGTTTTCTGTAACAAATGTTATATTTGGGATAACACTTTCTTTGTAAAGTACAGATTCTCTTACTTTTGGGGGGTTGAGTCCCGTCCGGGATTCGAAACCACACTTGCCAGAGTGAGGCACATAATCGCCAGCACACAAAGCCAGCGATCTAACCCACTCAGCCACCGAGGCTTCCACAAAAATGAAAGTCCGACAACTGGTAGTCTAGATCACGTACTTTGTGTACCCCTCTGACAAGTGTAAATTGGCACGGCTCCCATGGCCGAAAGCTATGAATAACACAATGCCATTTAGAAAGTGGTGCTGGCGATTAGGTGCCTCACTCTGGCAAGTGTGGGTTCGAATCCCGGACGGTTCTCAACCCCAAAAGAGTACGAGAATCTGTACTTTGCTAAGAAAGTGTTGTCCCAAATATAACATTTGTTACATTTGACCACTTTTTAAATGGCATTGTGTATTTAATGGTTTTCTGCGTTAATAATTGTCTTAAAAAGCTTGGAATAATTACATTATAGATAAACCATGGTTAAATCTTCGGGTACCCTTGCTCTACACTCTTCTTCCAGTTCTCTCATACGAAGAGGGGCGGTCGGGTAGCCTAGAGGTTAAAGCGTTCGCTCGTCACGACGAAGACCCGGGTTCGATTCCCGACATGGGTACAATGTGTGAAGCCCATTTCTGGTGTCCCCCGTCGTGATATTGCTGAATATTGCTAAAAGCGGCGTTAAACCAAACTCACTCACTCTCTCACTCTCTTCCGAAGGAATGTATGAAAACAGCAAATTGCATGAACCTACATGGGGCTTTTGGTTCCAGCTTTTTTCCACATGGTGTTTTCATCATGTAAAACAAGATACACGTGCCACTGGACTCCTCAAACAGGTACAGGTATTGACATTCCGACTGGTACGGGTTCAGGCCAGTGTAGTGGACTTGCTTGCTGCAGTCGTAGTAGCGAGCACAGTTGACAGGGTCTGAAAACTTGGCGGTCGGGTTGGCTCCACAATATGCGTCCACTAACTCTGGAATGTGAACGTACACGATTACCATCAGGGCAGGCGAACAAACTTTCCGATACTTGCACATGCGATCTCATTAAAATCAGATCTTAGTTTCGCTATCGCTAACAAAGATCTGGGGACATTCCATTACGGGTCACGTCAGAACGACCTTTCATCCGACCAATCAAAGCGTCGCTTACCAGATCATGAAAGTGAAAGTCCGGATGTGTTTCTTTAATCATGCAACCTCGAAAACGTTAACACGGGGTATTCCGAACGACAGTTACGACCCGTACGACTCTCGCTTCCGTGGGATACACATTTGAACGAAGGAGGCGTTGCAGTTTGTTCAGTTTTCAAAATTTTAATCGAGAACTGTGTCAACATATTTTTCAAACGTAGTCTGAAATGGAAGTCGCCAGGTTGAAACGAGTGCTGTAAAGCTCGAGAAAGCTGCTTTCTCATTGGCTGATATCGACTTCTTGTTATTCGTTTCAGTGGTGATGGGATGTCCTCAGATCTTTGTTTAGCGGCAGCGATTTATTTGATCTGATTTTAATGAGATTGTTGCACATGTAACTATACACCAAGGGAAGTCACTCTACCTAACGTGTTACCCTGGGAGTACCATTAAAGGCCATCCTAGTAGTACAAACAGAAAATATGACATTTTATGAGTGCATCATTTTCTTGCCACTGATAATCATCAGAATTTTTTTTTTCAATATCTACTGCCTTATAAAAGCAGCTATTCTGGGATGGAATATAAAACGCTGGCGCTAGAGAATAATCACTCTCGATTATCCACCGAAACAGATTGAGTCCGCGTTTCCATACACGTGAGGTGAAATGGGGTTTAACGTCGCGTCCAGGTTTGTTGCATTTATATATCGACGCGCATCGCCTGTACTAGTCCGGACTAATGCCGATTTTATAGTGCCCACTGAGATACCATGCTGAGTTTAACATGGACATCGAACTCAGACAAAGTATACTGACTCCGAGCCGACCAGTCCTTGTTTTAGCCCCTTAATGCCGAGCGCCAGGCATGGTACCATCTTTTAACGTCTTTTGGTATGACGCGTCCGGGGATCGTAACCCCAAACCTTCCGCTCTCCTGGCGAACGCTCTACAACTTGGCCACTGTGGCCGTCCTCAAGTTTGACCAGAATCCCGAACACACCGCTACTGACATATGTAACATATTATCTGACCATTTTGTCCGAATACTGTAAATAAAGCGACAAAACCCTTTCCATATCCAATAGATATAGCTGCATAAAGCATACAATTCCGACTATATCACGAGCATGTGTTTATGAATCACTATCATATAGTAATAATGCCAGGTGTTCGCGAAAAGGTGAGCGTATCCTGCCACGCGTCACAAACACATGCAAAGGCATGTAAGTCCATAGCCGGGGACTCGGATTGATATAATAATAATAATAATGAGTCCGTACCAGCTTGTGTGCTCATGGCGCTTGCATTATTACCCCAGTCAATGGATCAGTGAGCACTCGATTTTCATTCTCAGCTCCCTGGGGAGTATACAACCCAAGCACCATGCATGCATCATTCGAAACCCAGATTGGTCAGCACCATATCCATACCCAGAAACCTATGATCGTGGGTTCGAATCCCGGTTCACCACGGGACCCCGATCATGTTTCTAGTTTTTTCAGAAGCATACCCGTGCTCGTGGGTTTCGCCAAAGCGGGCAAGACGTGCATCACTTCGGGCTTTCCTCCCACATCAATCTGACACGCCGTGACATAACAAGAATTCTGGTCAAAGTTGCGCTAACCAAATCCACTCAACCACACCAATAAAATGACCACAACATTCTTACGTGAAATATTGGACGTGCATAATTTCCGTAACGGATCAAAAATTTCGGAAGATGATTTGCACTTGAGAGTGGCCTTGATCTTTCCAGCTTGACACTCGATGTAATCCGCGGACAAGACAGTGCCAGGTGTGGGCGCATAGCCATCCTGCACGCATGCACGGGATTCAATAACACACTCTGTTCTGTAGTCGCCTAGAAACACATGACAATCATTTTATAAGATTAACATGTGTCCACACGGAAATCTACGAAAGCCTTTTAGGACCATTTTTTTCCTTTAAATTTCAAGATACTATGTCAAGATTTTTTGTTGAAATTTCAAGATACAGAAGTTGAAATTTTAAGATACTAACTTGAAACTTCAAGATAATCATATCAACTTAGCATCTTGATATTTCAAGAGAGTATCGAAAAAAATGGCCCTAAAGGCTTCAATAGAAATCCATTACATGTGTAGGTTAATCCTCGAAAGTTTAAATAGGACCACACATATTTCATACATTGTTTACCTATTATATTATGTACATTTATTTGTTGTTGTATATGTTTGATATTTGAATTGATGCAAAGTTACCACATTTCACGATCTTTTGAGGATGATTTGTTTGTTGTTTAACGCTGCTCAAGAAATGTTCCATTTATATGGTGACGCCCTGAAAATAATCGAGTCTCGTCGAACCGTTGCACCTCTGGTGTCGCTGCATCGGTTGCCTCAAAAACCAGAACTGAATTTAAACTACAAACCTAAGCCTACAAATGCTTCACTGAGTCAGCCCCACACACATTTGGTACTGCAAACATTTCCGTTTCCACTGCAAGTTATCTATTGTTATTTTTCAACACTAAAAACGAAACCTTTTTTCTAGGTGTCATTTTCGGATGAGAGTCTGCAAAGACTACAAACCCCATCCTGACGGTGTAACGAATGTGGTAGAGGATGCAAGGAAGTCCCTATTACAAGTTGGTCCAATGCATCTATTCCATTTAAATACACTTATGAGACTATAGGGGCGGTCGGGTAGCCTAGTGGTTAATGCGTTCGCTCGTCACGCTGAAGACCCGGGTTCGATTTCCGACATGGGTACAATGTGTGAAGCCCATTTCTGGTGTCCCCCCGCCGTGATATTGCTGGAATATTGCTAAAAGCGGCGTTAAACCATACTCACTCACTCACTCACTATGAGACTATACTTCTCTACCAAACCTTTCACTACAAATGAAAGTAGTCTGTCAATGTAAAACAAAGATGCTAGTGATGACATCAATTATCTACTGGTATAGTTTCCTGGGTAGATAGTCGATAACGCTGAGACCAAGAATAAAGGTTCTAAATGATCAGAAAGAACGCTTATGCATGTTTTCGTGCTAGGGAATTCCCAGGGGTTTCCCCAGGAATGTGGAAGTAGTCCGTCAGTGCTTACGTCATTTCAAGAACACGGTCTCGTGAAAAACGTATGAACGTCAAATTGTGTCGTTCATACACTTATGAACGTCAATTTCGCGGTCATGTGACCGACCTCTCGTCCAATGGAAAAGCCGTATATCGTGTAAACTTCATATTAAAAAATTATAACGACATTAACAACACATCGTTATGATACACTACAACGTGCCATCGAAAGCTTTGGTCCTTAGCAAATGTTGAATAGTATAGATAGAGATAATCGAGGGCGTGGTCCTATACGTATTACGTCACTTTCAAAACCGACTTATCTATTTTTAGCCTAAACCCACATGGGATACCCCTTTTGATTAACGTCTATTATATACTGAAAAGCAAAAGAAACCTCTCATCTGATTTAATCATGTTTGATGTTCAGTTGAAAATATTTTAAGTTAGCGATATTATATCCAAACAGATGAACTGTACTGGCACTTACTTAGCACTCAAAGAATACTTCTAGATGGTTTCACTGTTTAACACACAAATTGATTTAAAACTTTAAACATGGGAATCTTAGCCATCTTATCTTTTAAAATTAATACATTTGCTTTTTTCGGTACATTTCAAAATGGTAGAGGTCATGTGGTTGCAAATTCATTTATAACCTCTGTCTTCATTGAAACAATTTATTTTGTAACAAAATTACCCAGCCACATACTTTATACAAACTGTTGCGGGATTAGTGTGATAGTTAAATAGACATTATCACATTTAACTGAAGTTCTTTCAATTTTCAATTCCATTAAAAAACACTCTAAATACTTTCATTTTCCGTTTTAGTCGCAAATGGGTGGACTATCAATGTCACAGAACTACAGTTGTAATGCGGGTGGCCCAGTCGTCTAAGGCGCCGCGATTCGCTGTGCAGAGTTGCGTCCCTTGGGCACGCCAGAAACCTATGATTGTGGGTTCGAATCCCGGTTCGCCCCGATTATGTTTCTAGGTTTGTCAGCACCATAGAAGAGGAAAACGTCTGAGACCTGCATCACTTCGGGCTTTCCTCCCACATTAAGCTGACACGCCGCGAAATAACTGTAATACTGTTTAATGCGGTGTTAAACCCAACTCACTCACTCACAGTGGAAATGCGATTTTTGACGTTTTGTTTATAAATACTTACATTTTGTGGCTGGGGCATTGTTGCATCGCACATTGTTGTCGGTCAGGTTGTCCGTGCATGTTTCTAATGTTGTGCTGAATAGTGTTGGGAAGGGACATTCGTTCTCGTAGATTTTCAGTCCGTATGTTACATTGGGAGTTTTCCTGGAACAGTCGTAGAACATGGCGCAGCTTTCTGGGTGGGGAAACGTCAGATGGGGGTAGAACGGGCAATATTTGCTTGCTATTTCTGAAAGAATCAATAATGTGCATATTAATAATTCGCCAAATCCACACATCAAAGCATGTTCACAGCGCTACGCTGTTACCCCGTCAATGGATCACTGTGTGCCATATTTTTATTCTCAGTTTCCTGTGGAGAAAACAACACAAGCTGCCTGTGAGGCACAAGAAGGAAACAGTCACATTGCCATCTCATTCTACCGGGTACCCATTGAGAGGCATATTTTGAGCAAAGTCACTTGGGCTTCAGTGGAGAGCAGGCTCAAGAAACTCCGAGTCCACCCATCCAACTACTCTCCGCTACCAACGTTGCATAACCTGATTTGTGATCTGTGTGCTGTGGTCAATGCTGTTCGTTTGTTTGTTTGTTTGTTGTTTAACGCCGCACTCAGCAGACATTCCAGCTATATGACGACTATATGTAAATAATCGAGTCTGGACCAGACAATCCAGTGATCGATATCATGAGCATCGATCCACCCAATTGGGATCGATGACATGCATCAACCAAGTAAGCGAGTCTGACCACCCGATCCCGTTAGTCGCCTTTTACGACAAGCATCGTCGCCTTTTAGGGCAAGCATGGGTTGCTGAAGACCTATTCTACCCCGGATCTTCACGGGTCGTTTGATATTATGAGAAACGTCTCAAGCCGTCGTGGTACTTTGACATGTATGACAACCAAGCCTGACCACCCGTCTCGTTCGACAAATATACAGTACTGGGGCTCAATTATATGGAATAAAGTGACGAAACCTCGACTGTACAATTCAGACTGCATCATAAACATGTGTCCATGACTCAGTTATATGGAACTAACATTCGTGACCAACTCGTGTTAATCCGGGACAAGCCGAATAGCGACTCGTACCCCTGTCGTGGCCATTTTGCGACCGGGTTCCGTCTAAGCGCAAACGCGGATAGATAAAAGAATTGTTAACTCGTTGCGTAATGATTCACGTATATTCCCCATATATTATATATATTTCAGATGCAATTTAAAGCACATCGGGACATGCGGCATTATACTATATGATTGAAAACATTTAACTGTATCTTGGGTATATTTTTCGATGCAAGGCATATATAAAATCAAAACTTATTCCTGAGGGATTCGTTGATCGAAGAACTTGAAGTCATACGCGCATTCTGATTGGTTTGTCATATTTTCGCACATAGCATTCATCGATAGGGGGACGAGTCTTCTTGCAGGTTACGGAAAGGGGCGAGTGGTGACGAATGGAGTCTTCTTGCAGGTTACGGAAAGGGGCGAGTGGTGACGAATGTAGGGGGGCGAGTCTTCTTGCAGGTTACGGAAAGGGGCGAGTGGTGACGAATGTAGGGGGACGAGTCTTCTTGCAGGTTACGGAAAGGGGCGAGTGGTGACGAATGGAGTCTTCTTGCAGGTTACGGAAAGGGGCGAGTGGTGACGAATGTAGGGGGACGAGTCTTCTTGTAGGTTACGGAAAGGGGCGAGTGGTGACGAATGGAGTCTTCTAGCAGGTTACGGAAAGGGGCGAGTGGTGACGAATGATGGAACCAAGTCCCCACTATGGCCGAGTAAATGCTATTGTTTATGTGTGAGTGAGTTAAAGATTCATGGTAAATGTTTTATGTAAAAAGCGATTTTTGAATAGAACGAATCAAACGAATTTTGTATTAGAGTTAGCGTACCCCGTTAGAACCCGGTTAGAATAGATCCCCAGAGGCTTCCAAATGGATCGGGTGGTCAGGCGCAATGACCTGGATCGTTGCTCACAATATCAATCATCGGTTTGTCTGGACCAGACACGATTATTTAGAGACGTAAAATAGCTGGCATATTGGTGAGAGCGGTGTTAAACAACAATCAAACAACAAATCATGATAGTGTTGAAGGGGCGGTCGGGTAGCCTTGTGGTTAAAGCGTTAGCTCGTCACGCCGAAGACCCGGGTTCGATTTCCGACATGGGTACAATGTGTGAAGCCCATTTCTGGTGCCCCCCGCCGTGATATTGCTGGAATATTGCAAAAAAAAGCGGCGTAAAACCATACTCACTCACACACTCACTGATAGTGTTGACTGTATATATACAAGCGTTCGCTCGTCACGCTGAAAACCCGGGTTCGATTCCCGACATGGGTACAATGTGTGAAGCCCATTTCTGGTGTCCCCCGCCGTGATATTGCTGGAATATTGCTAAAAAAGCGGCGTAAAACCATACTCACTCACACACTCACTGATAGTGTTGACTGTATACATACAAGCGTTCGCTCGTCACGCTGAAAACCCGGGTTCGATTCCCGACATGGGTACAATGTGTGAAGCCCATTTCTGGTGTCCCCCGCCGTGATATTGCTGGAATATTGCTAAAAGCGGCGTAAAATCAAACTCACTCACTCACTCACTGTATATCTACATACTGGCCATATCCACACAAGCGGGAGAAAACCGGAGGCAGTTGCCCGATATCTGATCGAACCGGAGATTTGGGGGACAGTTGACCCAGACGCCGTACGTCGTGATGCCCTGGGTGTAACAGTGGAGGTAGCCCGTGCAGTCCCAGGGCACCTGAGTCAGAGCTGAGGTCTCCGTGCACAACAGGTTCACCATCCAACGCGGCGCCCAGCCGTTCTTCCTGGTCGACGCCACCGTCAGATACAGCACCATCAGCATCAACGTCCGTCTGAACGACTTCATCGTGACCCTGTTTGAAACTATCCTGTAAATAACAACAACAACAGCCTTTCTACAATCATAAGACATATCAGTGAGTGTTTTGGGTTTAACGCCGCTTTTAACAGTATTACAGTTATATCACGGCGTGTCAGCTTAATGTGGGAGGAAAGCCCGAAGTGATGCAGGTCTCAGACGTTTACCACTTCGGTGAAACCCACGAGCACGGGTATGGTGCTGACAAACCTAGAAACATAATCGGGGCGAACCGGGATTCGAACCCACAATCATAGGTTCCTGGCGTGCCCAAGGGACGCAACCCTGCACAGCGAATCGCGGCGCCTTAGACGACTGGGCCACCCGTGCCCCCTTTAAGACATATCAACCAAACGTAAGGTCGATTGTACGAGTTCGACTATACCGTCAGCATGTGTTTATGAATCACTATAACATAGTGATGATATCAAGTGTTCGAAAATATGAGCATATCCTGTCCAACCAGTTGAACTCATCACAAACATATGCAAATGCAAGTCAATTTTCCGCCTAAAAAAACACGAGAACATATGGTTGAAGTCAAAATAGGGAACTGTATCGAACATCATATTTGTCACTGAAGCGTCAAATTTGGAAATGGTGCGTCCTCCACTTGTCTACACTACGGTCTTGGATGTTGTAACAATGATCAAACAATTATTAAACATTAAAGCAAGTATTGTTTCATGGGGTTCCTGTCTGCAGACCCGTGAAGATCCGGGGTAGAATAGATCTTCAGCAACCCATGCTTACCCTAAAAGGCGACTATGCTTGTCATGAAAGGAGATCAACGGGATCGGGTTATCAGGCTCGCTGACTTGGTTGATACATGTCATCGATCCCAATTGCGTGGTTCGATGTTCATGATGTCACTGGATTGTCGGGTCCAGACTCGATTATTTACAGACCGCCGTCATATAGCTGGAATATTGCTGAGTGCGGCATAAAACAACAAACCAAATCCTGTCAGCAGAGATTATTAAATAATCAGTGAATGTTTCAAGGTCAACCTACCATATTACAAACATTTGAAGCACATTTGCATTCCATAAACGAACTTACTCCCTCCGGGTTAGAATTGGTTCCCAGAAACCTATGATGGCCACAACATGACACCAAATGGATCTGGTGGTCAGGCTCGGTGATTTCGCTGAATGCCTGTTATGAAATCCCAACATTCGATTCTCGTGTTGTTAATAACTGGTTTGTCTGGTACAGAGTAAATTATTTAAAGACTCCCGCCTTATTGCAGGTATTTTTTGAGTGCGTCATTAAAAAACTCAAAACAAGCACCAAGAACTTGTTTTGGTGAATAATTGGATTACATATTTGTAATGAATGCAAATTTTGGTCCCCAGATAAAGACTTGAATCTTCGATTGTGTGTTAATGTCGCATGACAGTCTCTGTTACGTCGAACCTTGGCCAGACAAACCAGTGATTGATATTGTGAGCAAAGATTAACGCCACCGGGTACGATGCCACGCAATGAACCAAGCAACCGATGCTGAACCCCTAATGTTTTTTGTTTGATTGTTTGTTTAACGCCGCACTCACCAATATTCCAGCTATATGACGGCGGTCTGTAAATAATCGAGTCTGGACCAGACCAATTAGGATCGATGGCATGCATCAACCAAGTCAGTGAGCCTCACCACCCGATCCCGTTAGTCGTCTCTTACGGCAAGCATAGTTGCCTTTTACAGCAAGCATGGGTTGCTGAAGACATATTCTACCCCGGATCTTCACGGGTCGAACCCCTAATGGTTGCTCGTACGGCAAGGATCGACTGCGCGGACCTATACTTATTCGGAATCCCCACGGGGGACAGCACATGTCACAACAACTATACAATATATAAAGTTGAATAACTATTGTAATAAGTACATCAACATCCACAACAATACCACATACAATATTTAGTACGTATTTTGGGACAAGTCGCTTTGACAGATACAGCATTATAAATATATTTAGGATGCATTTCGCCAAAATACTCACCTGTCTGTGGTTATCATCAGCGAGTTTGGCATACGGCCTTTGTGTAAGACATCTTGCTTATCAAGTCGTCTAACATCCGTCTCGTGGATAACTGAAGTTCTTGCTGCAGGGCATCTGGCAACACTTGTCACGCCTTTTAACGCCCGCGTGCAACGTTGATGCATATGAATATTTAAGTTTTGTTTGTGTGAAGCAAACTTTCATCACGATGCAACAGGCGTATTCTCGGAGCAAATGTTATAATAAGGTGTTGCTGTTTGAATGGCATTTGTGAGGCAGGAAAGACTCATTGTTTTCATAAGGGTAACTTTGTTCTTTGAAGTTTTGACTCTCGTGCAGGTTAGCACTTTAAATTTGTGGCCTTTTCAGTATTTGTAATATATAGTGCATAATTAGTTTATTAGAATAATTATAAATGATTTGATTTTCATTTCGTTCTGGAAAATGCATATAATATTCATGTTTTTTTTTATATTATGTTAGTTTGTCATCGTTGCGTTGCGGGTCAACGTTACAAACCAATGCAAAGACAATATGTCTGTGAATCTTTCTCAACATGTTTTTTAATTAACACAAGAATATCAGCATTACCTCAGATTTCATTTTGGAAAATCACAGATTCGATGCTGATACGTCTTGTAAACCGACTTATATATTGTTGCGACATTGACGATTTGTTAAATTGTAACTCACTCAGAATAAAAGCTTTCATTTGTATGGAATTATCCAAGATCAACCCAAGACAAACAGTTCTTGATAGCCACCCGGGAAGAAGAGGTCTTCTTGAAGATCCGGGGTAGAATAGGTCTTCAGCAACCCATGCTTGCCGTAAGAGGCGACTAACGTGATCGGGTGGTCAGGCTCGCTGACTTAGTTGATTCATGTCATCGTATCCCAATTGCGTAGAGCGATGCTCATGATGCTATTCACTGTATTGTCTGGTCCTGACTCGATTATTTACAGACCGCCGTCATATAGCTGGAATATTTCCTGAGTGTGGCATTAAACAACAAACAAACAAAAAACAAAACAAACTTCTTGACAGCAGGTGTGCACCCGGTTGCTGTCGGCCTGCATAATCCTGCTTCACCTGCAGTGTCTATCAGTGCACTGTGAAAAAATGTAAAAAATAATAATGTAAACACAGAATGTAAACACAGACAAGACTTCTTGTTTATTGCATATAGCGAGGTTTCAATGTAGATTCTTGCACGACCATCAAGCTGGAGTGACAACAACCAAGTGATGAGAAGTATATATGCATCACATGTTGCGATAAGCAGCAGATTAACATTGGCAACAACGGTTATAGATACCAAGTAGCATACACATATGGATGAAACCAAATGTACAGTAAGAATAACAAATAGCACACAGGTTATGAACCTAGATGTACAGTAAGAATAACAAATAGCACACGGGTAATGAAGCCAGAAGTACAGTAAGAATAACAAATAGCTCACAGGTAATGAAGCCAGATGTACAGTAAGAATAACACATAACACACAGGTAATGAACCTTGATGTACAGTAAGAATAACAAATAACACACAGGTTATGAACCTAGATGTACAGTAAGAATAACAAATAGCACACGGGTAATGAAGCCAGAAGTACAGTAAGAATAACAAATAGCTCACAGGTAATGAAGCCAGATGTACAGTAAGAATAACACATAGCACACAGGTAATGAAGCCAGATGTACAGTATGAATAACACATAGCTCACAGGTAATGAAGCCAGATGTACAGTAAGAATAACAAATAGCACACAGGTAATGAACCTTGATGTACAGTATGAATAACACATAGCACACAGGTAATGAACCTTGATGTACAGTATGAATAACACATAGCACACAGGTAATGAACCTTGATGTACAGTATGAATAACACATAGCACACAGGTAATGAACCTTGATGTACAGTATGAATAACACATAGCACACAGGTAATGAACCTTGATGTACAGTAAGAATAACAAATAGCTCACAGGTAATGAAGCCAGATGTACAGTATGAATAACACATAGCACACAGGTAATGAACCTTGATGTACAGTAAGAATAACAAATAGCACACAGGTAATGAAGTCAGATGTACAGTAAGAATAACACATAGCACACGGGTAATGAAGCCAGATGTACAGTAAGAATAACAAATAGCACACAGGTAATGAAGCCAGATGTACAGTAAGAATAACAAATAGCACACAGGTAATGTAGCCAGATGTACAGTATGAATAACACATAGCTCACAGGTAATGAAGCCAGATGTACAGTAAGAATAACACATAGCACACAGGTAATAAAGCACACAGGTAATAAAGCCAGATGTACAGTAAGAATAAGGATTAAAAGGATTAAACAGTTCTGACAAGCTGACTGGATCCTAAATAAAATAGTATATTGTTTGATTTGAATGTTAGAATTTAAACATATTACAGTAAAATGAAGATCATTAGGCAATAAGTCAAATATGGATAAAATGTATAATACACATTGAAATCAGATGTGCAAATCAGATTCAAGGCACTTGCATAATGCACATTCAACAAGGACTTTCAACGAACCTGGTACAATATTTACCAAAAAATGTACAACTTAACCAAACTGCTTTAATAGCAGTTTAAGAAAAATTGACAATTGTGATGACAATATATCATATATTTATGAACCCGTTGCTGCTGTATGACTTATAGTATTTCTCTCATACAGGAATCTGACAATGAAAGTATGTGTGATCACTACGACCCTTAACTTTTACTTTTGCATCACTTCATTGAATATTTCCTTTGGTGCAGCTTGTTCCACCACCTATTGACTTCTCTAGTTCACTTCTCTAAAACAGTTGTAAGTCATGTAAATGCTCATCTCATATTGTGCTTTTTAAAGGAAATAGAAATAGTTCATAAATTTTGATGTACATAATGTGTGTTATTTAAATATTGGTAATGCTAATTTGTAACTTAGCTTGTTAGTTAGTTTGGTTTGTTTGTTGTTTAACGCCACCCTCAGCAATATTCCAGCTATATGACGGCGGTCTGTAAATAATCAAGTCTGGACCAGACAATCCAGTGATTGACATCATGAGCATCGATCTTCGCAATTGGGATACGATGACATGCATCAACTAAGTCAACGAGCTTAACCAGCCAATCCCGTTAGTCGCCTTTTACGACAAGCATAGTCGCCTTTTACGGCAAGCTTGGGTAGCTGAAGACCTATTCTACCCCGGATCTTCACGGGTCTAGATTGTTAGTGGCTGTACCCTTGAGGGGGGTTGAAGTAGCGTAACATTATTGTACCCCTAAGAGGGTATGTTAGTTCCACATCATTCGAAGTATTTTTATGAATGCCAGGCTTTCAAACGTAGTATATTCCTCATGTTATTCTTTGGCTTAACTGGTACACTGTCGCCAGTGACTGAAGGAATGATATAAATCCTGCCGGGTCCATGCAGGAAGCAAAGGCACTGTAAGTCCCCATGGTCCCTGATATGGTGATCCCCCTTTAGTTCCTGACGATCTCTAGCCCATTTTATATTGTGTTGTCAATTCTTTCGGCTTTTAAATGTTCCTCAACTAGTTTTAAATCGACTCTGTGATATTCTAGTTATTGTACTGTCCTTCAATGACAGTTGTTATAAAGTCTACATATATGTGTTATTAGACGGGGCTAGCCACTTCTGAACTCCCCAGGGGGTACGGGTGGCCCAGTCGTCTAAGGCGCCGCGATTCGCTGTGCAGAGTTGCGTCCCTTGGGCACGCCAGAAACCTATGATTGTGGGTTCGAATCCTGGTTCGCCCCGATTATGTTTCTAGGTTTGTCAGCACCATACCCGTGCTCGTGGGTTTCACCGAAGTGGTAAACGTCTGAGACCTGCATCACTTCGGGCTTTCCTCCCACATTAAGCTGACACGCCGTGATATAACTGGAGTACTGTTAAATGCGGCGTAAAACCCAACTCACTCACTCACTCACTCTGAATTCCCCCATCATGATAATCGCGGCATACAGATACATTGAGTACTTTAAAAAAACATATAAAGAGGACTTTAAAAAAATATGATAAGTTTTGATCTAAACTACGGGTCCAGATTTTGTCAAATTGTACACGCCCGCCTTCGACTTGGATGCAGTGATCTTAATGCAGACCGGGTCGCACGATATTTATCAGATAATCCTGGATGTAGCTGTGGCCATCACACTGAAGATGCACTTCACTTCTTTCTCATATGGGGGCGGTCGGGTAGCCTAGTGGTTAAAGCGTTCGCTCGTCACGTCAAAGACCCGGGTTCGATTCCCGACATGGGTACAATGTGTGAAGCCCATTTCTGGTGTCCCCCGCCGTGATATTGCTGGAATATTGCTAAAAGCGGCGTAAAACCATACTCACTCACTCACTCTTTCTCATATGCCCAAATTACAATGATTAAAGACAGAATATGTACTATTATGTTACGGGATATGATCTAAATTCAATTCTATTAGGTAATCCTGAAAGGACGTCAAAAATAAACTTAGAAATTCTTAAATCAGTACAAGATTGCATTCAGCTATCCAATAGGTTTTGTGATTTTACATAGCATCTTAAATTTATAATACTATTCCTTGCCGTATATTGCAGTACACTATTACTACTAAAAATGAGACCTGACAGCGCCGACAACGTAGTTTCAACGTAGTTTCTATAATAAGAACATGTATATAATTGTATTCCTTGACTGTACTTTTGTCATATTATATTGTATTCTAATTCTGGAGCGGTATTCAAATACGTTTTTGCTTGTTTACCAATCCAGTTCACAAGTTGTGAAATAAATATGTTTAAAACATAATTGCGGCGTAAAACCATACTCTTTCACTTTATAAGGTGCCTTCTGGATTACCAGGTTTGCCTTTCAACATGGATTTCCAGTCAGGCTGTCCATTTTTTTCCTTTCTCCATGTAAACACACGTTTCGCATTTACATAACTTTATCGTTTGACGCCCATGCTAGAGATGTTTAGGCCCCAAATAGCATGTCTTTATTGTCAACTTCAAACATGATTTATAACATGCCCGAGACATGTGCCAACAGGTTATATGCGCATCTATACTTCCAGAACCAC